AGTTAGAGCTGGAGGTGCTTGGATATAATTGTGGTGATGAGTATTTTCACTGAAAACTTTTTGCTGTGACAACAGTATGGTGTTAGAAATTACGTAGTTCTCAGTGGGTCACTAATGTGGTCTGGGCTAAGAGAATCCTCTTTTCCCAGAGGGTACTGGCAGAACATCTAGGGTTTGGAGAGCTGCTAATATTATGTGACAAATGTACAACTGCCAATTCCCAGGCTGTGAAGCAGCATCAGACACTGTCAGACAGTGATAAAGAGAGGATATGGAAAGCTCCACTAGAAGGAGAGGACTGAAACTTGGCCTTTCCGTTCCCGGTAACATGTGGAATCTTTCTCTCTCTACAATGTATGAAATACTAATTCTCCATTTCCCCTCAATTCTAGTATCTCATTTCTGTATGAAAATGGAGAACAGCTTTCTGTTCTCTGTCCTGCAAAACCAAGAAAAATAATAACTAGGCCTTTCAACTTTCTTGTTCCTTTCCTCTAAGCTGTCAGGATTGTCAGTCTCCTTGACTTGCAGAGCCTCAGCCTGGACTCAGTTTCCTAACAAGAGCAGTAGTGAGTGGAGAGATGTTTTGAGCGTTTTAAGAATAATAGTGCTGTTCATATTCCCAGGCTGTTGTTAATTTTTCTTCTTTTTTCCTAGTAGTATGACATTATTGGCTCATAGTTAGCCCATATTTGTCTCAGTCTAATTCTCAGACATTCTCCTGCAGTCTAACAGGTCACTCTGTGTTGTGCGTTTGAATTTGAGCCTACATTTCTCAAGTGCAGGAATTGTATTTGTGTTCACTGGATTGCATGTTGTTCTTTCCAGGCTGTTTCTCTGTCTTGTCAAATTCCAGTCCTGCTCTCCTACATACTCCTGCCTCTCCTAGTTTAATGTAATTTGCTGATTTTAACAGGTCCATTCTCTCTCAAAGCTCTGAAATCCAGCAAAACTCGGTGTTTTCATTAGGACATAGATGATCCCACTGGATGCATCCATTCAAACTAACACAGAGCAATTGATAAATACTCTCTTGTATGATGATTATTATTTTAATTTACAGAAGTCTGTGGTTGTAATTTTATGTAGACAGTATTTCTCTAGTTTAAGGAGGGGAATGATTTGTCAGACTGTACCATGACCAGTTAGATCAGTTTGATGTAGTTTCCATTCAGGAAATACAGTGGTACTCACCTTGCTGTGCTAAAAAATTCTCTGAATATTTCTGGCAAGATTGGCCTGTTACTTCCTGGCTTTTCCTCTTTTTTCCTGGCAGTATGTTGCCATTTTCCAGTCTCCTGACCTTAGTAATTTTCAGAGGTACCTATGAATGTGTTTTTGAGGGTTTCTGATGCTTCTTGAAATGCCTGAAAGTATTTCAAGGTAACAATTTCCACTGCAGGAGTATTGCAGACTCTTCCCTTCCTGCTGTTGCTGAGCTGGGCTGATCCTGGCTGGGCATGCACTGACTCATCCCCCTGAGCAGGAGAGACCTGACTGCTATGATGGCTGCTTATTCCTGTGATCTCTGACAAATGTAACGTCCAAATTTAAGTGGCTGAAGCACGATGTTGCTTAGTCAACAGTTGCTTAGTTGCCTGATTAACAGGTGGCTAAAGGCTGTGCATGGTTCCAAAGTGATACTGACGCAATAAAAAGCACAGAAGCTGTACAGAATACATGTATGTTCTTTACTAAAAGTTTGGTGTAAAGATCAGTGTACTAAAAATTGAAGCAAAGATATGACTACAGAAATACAGTATTGTTATCACATAGCAAGAAACAGCATGTCCAAACAATTTTCTTTCTCGTATTACCCACATAATAAATGAAAGGCCTGTATTAAGCCTGTTTTAGGACTGGCATTAAAATTATGTGAGAGTTTAGGATAAAATCTGATAGGGGGATATGCATTTCTTAAGAGGAGCATCAGGACGCACTCTGTCAACTTTGCTGAGATTTATCCATGATCTTAAATATTCTTCAAGAAATGAAAACATGTTCTTATGCATCTTTACAAGAAATGTCAACACTGTTCCAGTAGTCGCAGCAGAAGCTGTTAGAGCAGCTTTAGAGCTATAAACTTCTCTTTCTACTATTGTCTGTTTACAGAGGTATATGGGTTGGGTTCATAAGCTTTGTTTCCACAACTTTGTTGGCTATCACCTAGCTAAAAAAGATTAACAAGAGTAGAAAATTCCAAGCCACAGTAGCATACTCTACTTTTAATTCACAGTTTGTTTTTTAAAGATTATTTCTTGATAATGAATGACATAACCTATGCATTTAGTTGTGACTTAGAAAAATGCTACAGTATGGAAGTGTATGTTTTGGCTGGCTTCCATATCCGTGTGACAAAGAAGCTGGGAATATTTTGATGGATGAGTCCCTTATTGTGAACTCTGTGTAGCGTGATAACTAGATGACTTGACTTCATAAAGCGGTATACCACAAGAGGGAGTAGACAGCTATTTGTAAGTAATGCTGCTACATAAAATTGAGGTTGCAATGCTAAGGATGTGTAAGGGTTATCAAATGAAGACAGACTTTGATTAGTTTTCTATAATCTTAGTAATGCATTTCTATCATTAGATAAAATACAAATCTCCAATTTTCATCAGAGGCCTATTAAAATTAGTTTATTTTTTATACCACAGATAGAAAGTTAGTAGAAGGGCATGAAATCCCTGTCAGGTTAAAAGCCAACCAGGTTGAAAGGATTTCCCAAAATGCACAGAAACTGCAAGCATCTGTAACAGAGTAGAGGCTTGCCTGCCAGATGTGAAAAGTCCTCTGTGCTTATCTTCAGAAGAACCTTCAGGTTTGCCATATTACAGGTAAAAGAGAGATTCACTTTCAGGGGAAAAAAAAAATCACATTTGCCTTCTAATATTTCTTAGATTTCCCCCTCCACCTCCCCAATAGCAGCCTGAAGCAGGGTCTGGTCCCAGTGCCTTACCCTGTTCTAGGCAGGTGTCCAAGAGCTGCAGGAAGACACAGCTATGAAAGCATGTCCTATTCTGCATAAATAAACCTCTGTGCTTTCCTTCACTTTTTATTTTTCCTGCCAATAAAACTGACTGGTACATTTCTATATGGGTTTTAATTTCTGGCTGCTAATAGATGGTGTAGAGTTTTGTCTCTCTTATTGCAGGATACTTTCATACCACAAAACTGTTTACGCTAGTACTTTATACGGAGGGATAGTTCTGTCTGTTAAAAATACAAATGTGAAATATAGCCTACATTCTGGCAATGCCTGCCAGCAGTTTTGCAATGCAAAATTGTGAATTTTTGTTGTTTTGGGTATAGTATACGAAGAATATTGAAAATCTTGCCGAACTCTAAAAGAATTCTGTTATTTTTTAGCAAAATACATATTTACTCTCATCTACTTAGCAAAAAATGCATATTTACCTTATCTCATCACGTGCATATGACCCAGTAATGGTATAATTTATACAGCAGTAAGAACCATATAATTACTTCCCATCTAAGTATTAATTATAATTGTGTCAATCTTTGGAGTGTTGAGTGATGATTACAGTTGAAAATTATTTAGTATTTACAGAAAATCTAAGTGCAATTTTAATAATTTGGATGGTGCTTCCTTTTAAACACAGTTATATATTTACTATAGTAATTTTTACATATCTTTCTGTGGGGGTAGTAAACTGAAGTTAATTTTATCAGTGTAAAGAGATTATTATTTTTTTTTTCAGTGAGACTACTTCTAAGAGATTTAGTGGAGATGAGCCTCTGATAACTCTGTTAACTAGTACTGGTGGAAGATGTAGTTTAGTCCTTGGGTGGAGATAGGGTGCTTCTATACCATGCAAGATTAAACCCTCACGTCTGCAGTTTACCTCTGCTGTTCTGTATGCATCTCCAACTTGTATGCACTTATTATATGAATGTGTGAGAAGTCCAGGTCTATGAACAAAGGCTAGATCTGTGGGTAGCACAATTTCAGCGAAACGGATGGTGCCTAGTAAGAGGCTTCTGCACAAAGTGAGGTTCTCTGTTACTGTGCATGCCAAGTCCAGCATCTGTTATTTACATCACACCAGTGCAGTTACTAGAGGTCAAGGTCCTTTGTAACACTACAGGCTCCTTATTGAAGAAGGAGACCAGTTAGTGTCTCAAAATGCAGTCATGCATGGGAATTGGCATGAAGCATCTTCTGGGATTCCAGACACTGCCCTTCCCTTGGCTATAGTAAGTCCCCGCAAAGGCCATGCAGCTCCCAGGCCTGCACACAGCTGTAGTACAGCTTCTGTAGGTAAAGCCAATCGGTCTTTGGGGATCCACTGCCACTTCTCCATCACTTGCCATTGGTTTCTTTTGAGGAAGACTTACAGCAGGCTTTGCAATGGTCTGGAAAGCCTGGTACTGGCCAGGCTTTGCAATGGTCTGGAAAGCCTGGTACTGGCCAGGCTTTCCAAAGGAAAAATGTGACTATCAAAATATTATTCTCCTTTTTCTTTTGCTCCTATGTGGTACTGACAGTCATGTTTTGCAGGCAGTGTTCTGTCTCTGTCTACTGAAATACATAGTTAGTCAAAGAATTATTTAAAAATGCTTTGTTGCCAAGACACTGAATGAAATGTACAAGTGACACCTACAAAGACAACAAAATGCTTTTCTTCTCCTTCTGCTCTAAAACATGCGAAGTATCATAAAATCAACAAGTAGGCTTGACTTGATAACATGTATCTACATTAAGAGTGGCTGATTTCAATGTGTTTTGAAATGCTTCAAAAAGGTCAGATGCAATGCTTGTCACTGCTGCTCTTTTATGCTGTGTGATGTCATGGAACACTTTGAAGCACAAAGAGGGAAGTTTAGGTAAACTTTCAAAATTCACAGTAAAAAATAAAATCCCATTGCATCCCTGTTTAAAGATATAAAATAGATAAAACTTTCAGAGGTTTTATTCTTCCTTTTAAATGTTTTTGTTGGTCTGAGTTCTTCAGAAGAATTGAAGGAGCCACTTTTATTCACATGATTTGGTTCAGAAGGGTCTGATAATCAGTGGAAGAATTTTTCAGTACTTCCACTGGAACAAGTGGGATGGGGACATTCTGCTCACACACCACCGTTTCGTACAGGGGAGCAGCCTCCAGAGTGAGAGATGACAAAGAGATGGATGAAATAGGCTGCTGCAAGTCCTGCAGCCTGACTGCATAATTTGCAGCCTGTCCCGTAGTTCCAGATGCTGCTTCCTCTTCCAGGCTAAAGTTTATAGATATTTCATTTCTTTGACAAGGGTCCGTAAAAGAATATGGGGGGGGATCATCTGTGGGAATGTATATTTGTGTTGCTCCTGGCCCCACGCATTCATCGTAGCTGAAAGAAAAAAAGAATATTTCATTAGATTCCTGTGAAAAATGCCACAGTACAGTATTTTCAGTGTAACAGGGGCAGGTAAAGTGAGAAGAAAAGGATCGTCTGGTGTTTTGTTCCTCAGCCTACATACTTGCTTACCCTGCCATGTGAGACACTCGAGAGCATAACACTTAAAAGTATGTTTCCAAATACCTGAAGACAATCCCAGAGGTCTCAGTGAAAGTTTAGACCCCATCCTCCTGCATGAAAGTACCATGCAGCACCATGTGGCAGTACCGTTCAGCTGAGGTGCCTGGGGATAAGCCCAGCTCCTTACAGCCAGTTACGCAGGAGCGGGAGGAGTAACACTGCTGGCTCACACAAAGCTGTGCACCCTGCACCAGTCACCATAGGTGCAACACAGCGGGGGTTCATTCCTGCTCTCAACGGCTTGTAAGTAGCTAAGTTAGAAAATGGCTGGGGAAAAAGGAAGTGGTGTTGCCATGTTACGGTTACAAAATAAGCTATAGAGAGCTTTAGATGGAGTCTAGAGCATCACATCAAATGCTGTCCTCCTGACTCACAGGTCTCTGGTGCTCAGCCAGCAGTTACATGCGGTATGGTGTCTGGGCTGCAGATCTGTGCTGGCAGAGGCAGCAGGATTTCTTGCTGAGGTGCAGAGCTGTGATGAATAATCTTGATAGATTCATGCTGGTCATTCTGATACTTGGTAGACTCCCCGTCATGTACCTCCCGAAAAGGAAGAATGCAAGATAGACCAATTTGTGGGATTTCCATGAGAAGCCAGCTCAGATTTATCCAGGCTTTGTAGTTACGTCCATGCCACCAAGCTAGAGCCAGGGTGAACTATTACCTCCTCACTCCACTACTGTGCTCAGTGCTTGCTGTCCCACTGTGAATGCTGACAGGCACCTCAGATTGGAGCCTGGACTGCACAGCCTAGGGAGGCCCAGAAGGGGTAAATAATGAGCCTGGATAGACCAGCGTGTCTTTGTGCTTGTGTTTTCCCATGTTCTGTGTTGCAGGAAGGGGATGGGAACGGACAGAGTGGACATGAGTAGGCTCCATGCATGTGTACCGTGCTACTCTGGCAATCCTCAGCCCTCTGAGCCTAAGGGCTCTGCAGAGATTTCACTGTGGCCCCAAGGGGGGCTGAACCAGAACTGGTAGATCTGGTCTGTTATCTGGGTGGTCCACTGTCTAGTGATCCTAGCATCATCTGTTTGTCCACAAACTAAAGCTGACTTCACTTTTGCTATCAAACCAGCCCAGGTCTAGTAGTCTGAAGGAAGGTCCCGTTTTCCTGGTTCACTGGCTACAGGCAAAAGCGAGGAAGAGTTTTAACATCATGATCTTAAATGTTGGACCTGCTTTGTTTGTGGCTGCCTTGTTTAGCTGTTTTGGGATTGTTTTAAATCCAGTTGTGAAGGAGAGAATGTTTCCTGTAAAAACCTTTGCCTGCTCAGTTAACCTGAAAAACAATTCTGCTGGAGCCAGACAAATTAAGAACCCATTTCCTCAACCACGCTAACTGCAGAGCTATTAAGATCTAGGTTATTTCCTGAAACTTAGGATATTTAGCGTATGTCTTCCCAGCAGACTGTAGGCAGTCATTCTGTCCCCTGTAATTGCATTACTGCCAGGCTAAACCCAAGCTAATAAACCCTACTTGTAGATTGTAAGTGGCTTGCAGCAGGGCAGCTTGCATTGGTTAGAGTGAGCTCAAATCTGCTGCAATCAACCATGGAGGCCCTGCCTTAGAAAAATACTTGGTTCTGCTGCACTCATTTGTACCTTTCCCTCAGAGTGCTCCTGATGATTTTGATGGTATTGTTCCTAGTCCGGGTGATGGCAGTGCTTTTTAGGGAAGGGAAAGGTAAGAAAGTGAAATCTTAGTACTAGGTTACTAAATAACTCAAATATTCACAGGTGGTTTTATTTTTACCTCTCTTTTATCTTATTTTTATATTTATGAGGACAATGGTTTTAAATTCAGACTAGAAAATTTTTATTTCCCCATAAGAAACAATGGTATTTAAAAACATAGCTGTTCTGAAGATCCTGAATAGGGCTGCTAGGTACTTCAGAAACAAGTTCCAACACGTAGGAGGTTGAATTGTTTTTGTATAGCCTGTGGAAAAAGATTTCAGTCCAGCCTCTACTAAGCCCACTGAAGCTTTCAAGCATACCTGATGTTCTTTTTAAAAGATCTTAGACCTCAGTCAGAGATCGAGGACCTGATGTCCTCAACTCTTCATGAGCTCAGCAAGAGTAAAGGAGGAGCCCCTCTTTGCATGATTACTTACTATGAGCTGCATCTTTACTTAATTTACATTTTGCTGACCCAAAGCCCAGTGAATTTATTTAAAATCTTCCCACAGATTTTGACTGACTTAATCAGGCTAATGAAGAGCACCTACTGGGTCCTTTTACTGTAGTAAAAGAGTTTCAGTTTTGAAAAGCTCACAGTAATGTGAGTTTCAAGGTGGAAAATTTTGAATCCTTTTGCTGAGACACAGAAGAAGCTTCTCTGTCTCCTGATTCTGGGCCCAAGCCCAGCACAAGGGAAGTCTGCCACTGACCTAAAGGAGAAATGGGCACATTCTACTTACTGTTGTTATCTGATCATCTACATTTCTTTCCCTTGGATTTACTTTAATATCTTTCAGGGACCATAGCTCTGCTCTGTAGAACTAAAATGCTTGGTGGGATAAATAGTAAAGTGGTCTTTTGTGAAGGAGACTTTTAAGCATTAAGACAAATGGGTAGAAAATTATGGTATTCAAGACCTGGCATTTTAGTGTTTAGTTCGAAGTATCAATATATTAGTGTTAGGGCACTTTTTCTTCATATATATGATGGATAAAAAATAATTCTCCCTTATTGTCCAAACTCCAATGCAAGTAATGTTCCCCCCTCACTTTTGGCAATTAAGTTTACATTTAAAAAATCTAATAGGGCCATAAGTAACACATGCCAGATTTTCAATTAAATAACTTTTTGGCACCTTTACAACTGTGCCTACAGATTGTTGTGGCTAAGGAGGCAACTAAAAATCATTCAAATAGCTTTTTTTTTTTTTTTTAAAATAACTTATTGTAACTTATGATCATGATACTCAGTTTCCCATATTCTCTCCTAAGCGTGGTATCTTTGCTTGTAATGCTGACATTGCAAATAGCTATTGCTATGATACTGTTAGTGGAGGCTACAGATAAGGTTCCTATAATTTTCTGTTGAGGATAGGAAGGAGATGAATTAATGTCATACAAGCAACTTTAACTTTGTATTTTTTGACCTAGCTTCCAAGTGTTTTGTGGGGTTTTTTTGTTTGTTTTTGTTTTTTTTCCGTCCTCTCTTTAACAGCCTCAGTAATTTGGTTGTGTTTTCAGAGTGCTTTTATAGAGGTATTCCTGTAGTATAATTAATGAATCATCAACACTATAAGCATGAATTCTACTTTGCAATCTCTCCTTCAAAGAGATCATAGTATGTAAACTTATACATCTAGTCTTTACCAGATCTTTTTTTTTTATTAGAGGATTCTAAGCAAGTATTACAAGAAGTAATACACAGTTTGACAGGCACCCACTGTCCATGTATGTTGGTGGTTGGAAAATCATTCCTCAAAAGATTTAAAGGATTACTTACAAAAAATTGTAATAGCAATCATTGCTTGCAGTTGATTACCATGTATTGATGTGAGCGATACTGGACTAAATTCCTCCTGTTGTCTTAAAATAAAGCTTCATGTTTGAGGAGAAGAGGTGAATGGACTCTTGCATTTTACTGCAGTGAGGCGTGTATCACGAATTAAGTGGTACTGCTAAGTTGTCCTGCAGTATGAGGTCTGCACCTTTGACATAGGTTTTAGGTTTCTTTCTTTTTACTTGCAAACAGCACAAACTAGAATAGAATGAAGGAGCTGCTTTCTCTTCAGCTGGTATGGAGACCTTGATACCGGAGGGGCCAAGAGGTACTATGTAATGATGGTTACCACTAAAAAGAACCAGTGCATCCATAACAATCAATAATGATGATTCCTAATATTAAAATTATAGTGTTACATGCAAGTCACTTAAGTATGGTAACTAATGCTGTTGATTTCATCTGAGAAGGTGGCAGCTGGAAAGCTCAGTGATGTGGAAAGCAGTGGTTTCAACATGAGCCAATGTCCACGTCACTGAAAGGAAGTGTCCCCTGCCCTGTTGCATACTCCCACTGTGTTCCTTGCACTACTTCCTCCAAACCATGATCCCCAATCTGGAGCTAAATAGGCAAAAAGGTTGCGTGCATGGGGTTTGTGTGTGTGTGTCTGTTTGGAGGTTTTTGTTGGTTTTGTGTGTGTGTATGTGTGGTTTTTTCTGGGCTGGATTTCTACTGATTTAGCTACCTAAGTTGGAAACTCACAGCATAGTCAGATGGGCATCAATGCAACACAAGAGAAAGAGAAGTGTAAGAGATGGAGGAAGTGGTGTAGGTCTTAGACCACAGCTCACAGGCTGAACTTCTTAGCCATATCATAAAGTGCAACCTCAGTAACTGCTGAGGGAATGACACCTACATACATATGTGTATATGTGTGTATATATATATTTTGCAACTGAAAATGCAAGAGCATGGAGCTTGCATGACATAAGTGGAGAAACAAAAATACTTGCTAGTCTCTTGCAAAAAATACAATGATAGTTATGTTTTATCTGAGAGATTCAGTTCCGTGAAGTTATTGTACATGTAAAAAGTAGCTGATGCTTGAAGTTCAGTACAGCAGTCACAGGAAAATCCTTCTAGACAAGAAAGCAAATGCTTTTGAAATGTTACTATAACTTAATAATGGACACAGGAACTCATTACACTGCATCTCATTAATATCGTGCATCTCTTTCAGCCCTGAAAAGAATCCTTGGTTGCAGTACTTGTGGTGCATTTTAAATAATATTATCTTAAGGTTCAATGTGTCTTACAGGCAGTTATGAGAAGGAAGGGGTTACTGACCATGA